AGCACCTACTTCCACTAAAGAAGAACTTAGAAGAAGTAATAATTGGGCACGTCCCTGTGTCTATTGACTCTATTCCCATTTCTGTTCTACCCCAGCTCGAGATACAAAAACACAGCACGGAAAACAGAGTTAGCACAAGGACACAGACTTGGACTCAGGCAAGCACAAGGTACATGCAACAAGTGAGTGGTAGGGAACACACACACACACACACACACACACACACACACACACACACACACACTCAGAAAACACAGCAGAACACGGAAATCTCAGCAAATCAGTCCAGCAAGCAGCAATACTCAGAAAACAGCAGAAGTCTCAGAGAGATTCTGTGCGGGTCACTGCAGTATTCACTATTGAAATCGATCTTGGAGAAAGTTTTGCAGCCCTGCACTCCATCGAACAGAAAAATGGTTGAAGTTCCGTTGAACACTTGACCGTGATATTGTTCAACCCCTGTGTTGTCAACACACGTGTAGCACAAAAGCGCTCCCAAAATGTGGTGAACTACTGGGCTTGACCCACCATTTGCCACTCAACTCCTCCAGCTGGTTCTTTTCGAACTCCTCAAAGTCTGTCGGGGACGTGGTACCCTCTTCTCTTGGGCAATACCGCTCCAAGCACCAAGTTTATAGCATGTTTTGACATCTCTGTCTGCTATAGCTGTCGGCTCTCCTCTCAGCTCCTTGAAAGGAGTTGTTACGTTGTCTGCACCACCAATCTATTGACAATTATGGTGTTCAACAGGGTGACCTGTCGTCTTCATCCTTCCTGATTACATTTCTCTCTCGACTTATAGCCTGCAAGCACATCATCCTCTCTCCACTCCTGTTCGAGACGCAATTTCTTTGGGTCGCACAGGACAAGCAGGAAATTGTGTTATGTCCATCCTTTCTCCCCCTCTTCTCCATCGATAGAATTGTCACTGTTGTAGCCCTCATGCTCATCCTCATGGACATAGCCAGTCCTGCCTGAGGTTGGGACAGGGGATAACATGGCACCATGTAGTGTTCAGTACTACCTTCTTCCCCTGAATACAACGTACGGTCATTGTAGTTGTATTTCGGGTATCTTTCAGTCTAGATACATCTATAATGCCCGGACGTTGTATTCGGGGGAATAAGGTAGCCGTCACACATTCACTGCATTGTATGATTTCATCCTTCCCTAAGAGATTCAGGACGGTTTAGGAAAATATATGTATATATATGACGATATATATATATATATATCGTCAAATAGAATATATATATATATATATCGTCAATATATATATATATATTGTCACATAACTACGAACTAAAAGAGCGCACTTTGCGGAACAAAGAATAAAAGCAAAAAACGGGCACAGTGATAACATGCAAAAAGAAAAAGAAAAAGAAAAAGAAAAAACAAGGGCAGATTGAAACCATTAAATTTCTCATTCTTCTTTGAACTCCACYTCCACTGTGCCTCTCACRTGCAAGGCTCGCCACGTTGATGAAGTTGAGCGCGAGMTGCCCCCATCCCCRTATGCCATAACAGCCCACTTGCACGCTGTGAGAGAGGCAGAGTGAAGGGGAAGGTGTTAAACACAGGGAAAAGCTCAAGAATGAGGCTGTCCTTGACGACAGAAAGGACACACATTGTAAGGATGGGGTGGATGAGCGCATGGAAGACCTAACTGAGCATTCTCAAAACAACAACTGCCACGACGGCTGGCATTAAGCATGCCAACCATACATTCCTCACAAATAGCATGTCTATTGCAGGCCAGAATATATATATGCAGTTCTATTTGACGATATATATATATATATATATATATATATATCGTCAATATATATATATATATATTGTCAAATAGAATATATATATATATATATATCGTCAAATAGAACTGCCCGGTAAACCGTAGGCAGAGAGGGAGAAGAGGACAACAAACGAGGGGCTGTGACAAACTGTTTCGTCGGAGTTTCACCGACTCATCAGGAGGCTGAACCCTGCATATATATATATATATATCGTCATCCTTCCCCATGCCGTTTGGTCGCATGCAGTCCCATTCCAGACTGCATTGCTGAGTCAACAACTTTGTGCATGGGTCTTTCGTAGACACCCTACCTGGGGCCGACAAAGAATCAAGCATAAGTACTTCCCTGAGAATTAAACATGGCTCCTCGGCAATCACCCCCATATTTCTGAACACCTTGTACCTGGGCCGCCCAACGGCTGGCTATGGCCAGCCCTGCCAGGAGGGCACTCATGAACGCGAACATCCCCACCTCCTCCCTCAGGAAGAGCGACTGCACCTGCAGGATCCGGTCAAACAGGTCAAATTCGTTGACCAGCTCATTCACCAGACGAATTCGTTGACCAGATCATTCACCAGTCAAATTCGTTGACCATATCATTCAGCAGACAAATTTGTTGACCAGATCATTCACTCTGCCTCTGCACATCTGACTCGCTAAGCTCTGGAACGCATGGTCATGTCTGGTGATGGTCGTACGATGTGCCCCCAACCGATTCACCTTCTTCACTACATGACATATCCCTTTGCCTGCTTCAAGACTTCAACAACTGCCCAGTGCCTACCCTTTAGCAGCATCTGCTGCTAGGTAAGAAAATGTGAAGTAGGTCTTGTCTTTATCTTCGTCGAATCTAATATTAACTAGGCTGGCTGGAGATTACATGACGCCAGCATTCATGTTCTCTTCTTTTCTCCTGTGTGGGCAGCCTGCCCTCCACCGCAAATGCCCCCGCTGCATCGGCCACATTACCTCTTCATCCTTGTCTATTCTACTATCAACTAGGATGCGCGGAGATTTCACGAAGCCAGCGATTCATGTCCTCTTCTTTTCTCCTGCGTGGGCAGCTTGCCCACAGCCACCTCCATGGGCCACATTACCTTACTCTCAGCGGGAGGATCAAGCCCTGGCTAGCAACTGTAACATTGTCACTGACTTAGCAGTATCCGATGCCAGGTCGTCTTAGGCCACCAATATTCGAGATGTTCCCCCAGGGTTACCTGGGACTGACACCCATGGATGGCAGAACAAAAGGTCCCCATCTGACAGGCCAGTCAGAAAAGATTGGCCCATAAATTTCAGCCCCCTGGGCAAGATTCCACCTGCAACTGCAATAATTCTTCTATCTGGACTATAGCTTGTTCATAGGTAAATGTTATTAAAGGCTCGTGCAGGAAAGGAGTCCCCACTATTATATAATGCCAGAAATCTAAGATCAAATTCTGACAAGTTGCTTATAGAATTTAGATTACCAACAAGGGATCACCGGCCAGAAATTCAAAATCCAAGCACCAGATACTTTGTGCGCGACAACCTACCTGTAGTGCGGACATCTCTGACAGCGGCAGTTTTTTAAGGAGGCAGAAGTTATAAGGAAGGCAGAACCAAAAAAAAAAAAAAAAAAAACAGAAGGCAGAACACGATCAGAAAGTGGTACACGGAAACTGTAATCAGAAGGGGCTAAGGGATTGCTGGTCAAACAACGACCAGTACCTCGCCCACACATTGGCCGCGGGGCCCTCACTGCGACTTCCACAGGCCTGGCACGCGACAACGGCTGCTGATAAAATTTATCCGCGGCGGCCCGGCCCCAAAAGATGCAGCCGTTAACGAGCCGCGTCTCTGAAAAATAGCTGGGAAAGGTACTGGTTGTTTAACACAGCATTCTGTGGCGCCATTCACAGCAAAACCCCACAGCCCGTTTTGATGTTAACCAGAGTCGCCACCAGTCAATAATGGGCAACAAACAAACACCCCCCCCCCCCCCCCCCCACCCCCTTCTGCTCCTCCCCACCTCGCCACCACCTCCGCCACCAACTTCTCAACGTACCTCTCCCCCTCGACTTGTGAACATTCCTACCCACCACTTTGTAACATTTCTCCCCTTTGCACTTCGCCACCTCCCTCACCCCTCTCCCCCCAGCCCCCCTGACCAGAAACATGCTTTCATGGATTTTCATGCGGATTGTGCCTCCTCTCAGGGAGCGCAGCAAGGGTCCGCAAACTGAAAAAGAAAAAAAAATCTGGGACTTTTTAACCCACCTGGTCTTGACAGACTGGCCCCACCCACCCCAACTGGGCCAGTCGGGGCCACACCTGCCCGGGCAGGGTATGCATGGCCAGCAGTCACCCAGCACAGAAAAGAAAGACAAAAAACAAAAGGAAAAGAAAAAGAAAAAGAAAGAAATTGGAACTTCACCTCCAAAGTGTCCAGACCCAAATTTCAGCAGGATACCCATTCCCAGGCGCTGATACTCCAAGGTGGTCCCTGTTAAAGAATTGTGGGATAGGGGGAGGTGAGTCTGGAGATCCGGCGGAGCAGCTGAGACTAGAGAAGTGGATTGGGTTCCGTACGCTGGTGGATGGGGGGGGGGCAAGCAATGTGGAAAAAAAAGGCTGGGATGCTAGAGACATTAAGGAAAGAAGAAATACCTTTCTCGGCCTTTTGGCTAAGAATAGATAAAGTGAAATGTATCTGTTCTGAATCTTCTGATCAGTTTAATATCTGATCCTAGTGGTCCATCGCGCCGCAAACGAAGCAAGGAAAGCAGAGGGATGGACAGGGAGGGAGGGGGTTGGAAAGGGATTATGGAGGGGCTGGAGGAGTGACTTTACAATTGATGAAGATGGTGAGCCAGTGTTTCACTTGATTTCAAAAGGCTAGATCCCTGTGTTTGACTTAATTTCAAAACCTGAATTAATTTCAAAACTTTGAAGTAATTTGAACTAATTTCAAAATCTGAATTAATTTCAAAACCTGCATTAATTTTGAAACCTGAATTTCTGGCAAGTTAGTGCCAAAAGACTGAAAACCTGATACGTTTTTCGGCCTTTTGGCTAAGATCGTGTACTCTGTTCTGATCAGTTTTAACTTTTAATATCTGATCCATGGCATATTGGATCACCAAAAAAAAAAAAGATGGGGCAAAAAGCCTTGAAAAAGGAGACCAGGGAAAGATCAAGGGAAGGGGCCAAAATTCAACCCACCATAGAATCTGGGACAAGGCTCCTGATGCCATAATAAGCGTACGTTTTTCTTGGTGTCCGTAGCATACAAAGCCGTGACAGGGGGGCGGTGAGAAACCTGGGGAGAAACACGCACAACAAGCTCACCACAATAAGAAGTAGCCAAAAAAAAGAAAAAAAAGAGAAAGAAAGAAAAGAAAAGAAGTAGCCATATTACCAACCCAACTAACCAGCAAACTTAACCAACTGTATATAGTCATAACAAAAAAACTAATAATAATAACCCACAATGATACGATAATTTCGATAAAAAAAAATAACAATGAAACAGTTTTCACCTTTGGCAGTAGCCGATGCAGATCCCAGGGGTCGATCCCTTGACCTCAGCTTACCTGTGTACAGTATCTGCACAGTTC